ACGCCGCTTGTATTTACAACTACGGGAGGGATGGGGATGGAATGCATAAGATACCACAGCCGATTGGCCGAGCTGATAGCCGCCAAGAAAGGGGAACGATACTCGCAAACAATTTCCTGGATCCGAGCAAAGACATCCTTTGCCCTCCTTCGGTCGGCCTTAGTTTGCCTTCGAGGATCGCGGGTGAAGCGCCGCGCTGCGTATGACTATAATAATTGTGACGTTGAAATCGCAGCTGCCGAGGGAGCCATTGACATTGTTTAATGATTTTTAGCAGCCTTGTATATAGGGTTCTAGATTTGCCATTCACCTTTCTCTTTTCTGTATAGTTTTAGATATGCTTTTACTTATCAGATTATTAGACTTTGAATCTGTTCAGATTTGACTCCGTTATTTATAGTTTTCCAGACGCTTTGACAAAAAAAGAAGGAGTAGATGTGAGCCGAAAGTGAGTTATTTTGGATCGTTTCTTACGCTGTTAATATTTTGTATTGTAGAGGATTTTATGGAAATTATTGCTAAATAAAATTGTTTTATTTATTATTATTATTATTCATTATTTATTATTATTATTATTATTATTATTAAGTACTGATGTACAAGCTGAATTACACGCCTTAAGAATGCCTCGCTTTCCTCTTGCGGCTGACACTTGTTACAACAAAAGAGGTACATCTCACCTTCTTTTAACATTCCTTGAGCCATACACTTCTGAAAGCGGCAGTATTGGCACCGATTTCTGTTCAACTGGTTTACTTCACAGTTTCCATCTCCTTTACAAGTGTACTCCAACTGTTTTTGTACCGTACGTTTGAAAAACCCTTTACAGCCCTCACACGTGAAAACTCCATAGTGGTAACCTGTGGCTTTATCGTTACAAACCACGCATTCAGATGTCGCTCCACCGTTTGCAGCTACGGGCTGACTATCCTTGTAGCCACTTTCATTGTCGACAGACACGCCAAGCTTTGAGGGCTCCGCCACCACAGACGATGTGGAGCTACTGGAAGATTTCCGAGTAAATTTACATGAGTTGAAATCTGCATCGTTTTCTCGCTCTTGTGGCTCAGGTTTGGATAAAGTAAAATCCATAAAAACGTCAGCCAAGTCACTCGAACTTCCGTCCAAGAATCTCTCAGTGTGCCCCGCCATTAATCTGAAAAAAAGAAAAAAACAAAACAAACAAGAAAACGATGCGTCTTCGGTTGGTTGGGTGTAGAACTCTTCATGGAAATGAAATCAATAATACATGTTAAGACACTTTACTCAAAAATTTTTTATGGGACTGATAATTCCAATAATTATGACCAACGGATTGCAAAATTTTTTAACTTGAATTAAACACAACGGGTAAACTAGTCTGTACTGAATCGAACGGAAGTGAAGTACGCTACAGTGAAGTCTATTCAGCCTGTTATATCACATTCACACATTCCTTCTTTTAACATCAAACTGCTGTCAAATGAAATCGCTCGAGACAATGTGTATTATGAAGACTACAGCAAGAACCCGTGCGCAAGAACCCGTGCGCAAGAACCTACTTCGTAACAACTTCTATTTCTAATCAGCTCATGTCCTACTTTACGACAAAAAAGATGATTTCTCTAAAACAATATGGCTTTAGACCAGGCTTCACAACCTCTGACTGTCTAATTGATCTTACTGAAGAAATAATCTCTTCTCTTGATCAAGGTCATTATGTGGTTTCCTTATTCCTGGACTTGAGTAAAGCTTTTGATACAGTAAACCATCAAGTATTGTTAAATAAACTCAAGTTCTATGGTCTACAACAAAGCGAACACAATTCGATGGTTTCAATCTTACTTATTAAGTAACAGGAAACAACAACTGTATGTAAATGGTGTTGCTTCTGATTCATATTTTATCTCTACTGGTGTGCCCCAAGGATCGATTCTAGGGCCTTTGCTGTTTATAATTTTTATTAATGACCTTCCAAAGAGCTCTACTTTTATCTC